CCCCCCCCCCCCCCCCGGCTATTTCATCATTATATTACAGGAGCCATTAGCATAGGAAGTTGTGAAAGCCAGAAGCATAAATGTGTTCAAAGGAGATTGCACACAGTTACGGACAACAGGTTCATTCATGGCTGATCAGTCTATTGCAGCTCCTGGCTCAGGAAGTCTGTGTTTCACTGATTAACAGAAGTTGAGAGGTAGCTGGAAGAAAGACTGTGCTATGCATCATGTGTTGCTGGCAGTCTTTCAGCATCTAGCTCTGTCCTTTAGCAGATTATGGATGCAGAACAAGAGGTACTTTAATCTCATTTCTTGTGGTAGAATCATAGAACCATCAAGGCTGGAGGAGACTTCTAAGATCATCAAGTCCAACTATTAACCTGTCACTGCTGGAACCCCTAAACCCTAAACCAGATCCTCCAGTGTCAGATCCAGATGCCTCTTCAACACCTCCAGGGATGGTGACTCCACCACCTCCCTGGGCAATATCCCAGAGCCTGAAATCCCTCACAGGGAAAAAATTTGTCCTAACATCTCATCTGACTCTGCCCTGGCTCAGCTCCGTGGTGGTTCTGTGCCTGCTTGACAAGACACACACACACAAACAATACTGATAGGGAAGTTGTTTTATGTATTCAAGTAGGCATTAGTCTCACTTCAAATCAATAGCTGTGTGAGCATCACATATGTAAGGTAACAAAGGAATGTTTCAATAGGAAAATGGCATAGAGGGTTTGAGGGACAATTACACCTGGCTCAAGATCATTAATCCATGTTCTTCTTCAGCCAGTCGATGTATTTGGATACCCTTGTGTAAACCCCATAGGTGCCTTCAACAGCACAGCCCTTTCCCCAGCTGACAATCCCTGTCAGAAACCAAGTGTTCTTGTACTTTGTAGCATGAGGACCACCACTGTCTCCCTTGCAGGAGTCCTTAACCCCAGACAGGTCTCCTGCACAGAACATGTTCTCTGTAATATTTAAATCAGTCTCCCTTTCACATTCTTGTGTCTTTACACGTGGTAAATCAACTCTCATCAGAACAGAAGAGGTGGCACCTCCATCTAGTAGACGTCCCCATCCACTTACTGTGGAGAACTTGATGGAGGAGAGTTCATACACAGCAAATCGTTTCTCGGGCAAACATATTGGCACCACATAGTCAGTGAGATTAACTGGTGTTTTCAGGCTCAGGAGGGCAATGTCATGATTGACTTGGCCATTTATGTATTCTTCATGAATGATCATCCTGGTCACTTTACTTTCCTGCTCAGTTTTCTCATCTTCATTTATTTGGTGTTCACCTGGAAAAGTTATTAATTGCAGGTCATGCCAAGGAGCAACTTGATCCCTTGGAAGTTTGAGGGGATAGGGCGTTTCTAGTCTGACACCTCTGAAAGACAATTCCCTTATACTACCAGAGCCTGGACTTTCTGTCTTTTACTTTGGTTTTACCAGGATGAGAAGCTACCACCACCTTGATAAGATGAGGAGGGGAAGATACATACCCAGTCTCACCCGAAGCTGTTTAGGATGGACATGCTCCAAACAGTGAGCTGCAGTGACTACCCACTCTGGGGAGAGCAGAGTACCACCACACACCTCTCTCTGATCCTGCAGTATAAGGGCCTGCCAAAATAAAGCAAAGTTGTGTCTTACATCAAATCATAGAATTTTAGGGGTTGGAATGGACCTTAGAGATCATCCAGCCCCAACCCCCTGCCCTGGGCAGGGACACCTCCCACCACACCAGGTTGCTCAAGGCTTCATCCAACCTGGCTGTGAACACTGCCAGGGCTGGGGCAGCCACAGCCTCCCTGGGCAACCTGTGCCAGTGTCTCACCACCCTCACAGGGAAAAGTTCTGCCTAAGAACTAACCTAAATTTTCCTCCTTCAATTTGTGCCCATTGTCCCTTGTCCCGTCCCTGCAGCTCCTAACACAGAGTCCCTCTGCAGCTTCCCTGGAGCCCCTTCAGCTCCTGGAAGTTGCTGTGAGGTCTTCACACAACCTTCTCTTCTCTAGGCTGAACAGCCTCAACTCCCTCAGCCTGTCTTTATTGATTTCTCTCCCCTATGAGCACCTCCAAAGGTGCTTGACCTAAATCTCAGTGCAGTTGGGTTTCATATTGCTTCTTTCTGTCACTTTCTGCAACTGTGTTTGACAATTCCATGCTGCCTGCATGGAGAACTTAGGAGGGGGAGTCTTCTCATTGACATTTTCTTCATCTTGTAGTATGGACTCTGTCTGTTATGGCCAAGAATGTATCCCTGCAAGCTGCAGCTAAAATTCTTGCCAGCAGTAATGTTAAGGACTAAGGGGTGAGGAGGTAGAGGCAGATGTGTTACCACTCTGCTCCTATAAAACCAGGCTAAGATGCTTGACTGACACGGGTGCATCTGCTGGCTATGGATCAAGAAGGAATTTGGATATTCAGACATGCCTCTTTGTAGCATAATAGATTTAAAACAACAGATTTAAGATAGTGGTTTCATAAGAAAACTGAAACACTAAAAGCAATGAGAGATTTCTGAAGACTTACTTGCCATGGGCATTCACCTGGAGGACAGATTAAACCACCTACTATTCTCCCTCGGGCAGTTGTATTTCTTTTTGCCAGCACTGGTATTTTTCCACATGGGTATTTCACTGGAAGAAAAAGAAAGAAGAAAAAAACCCCAAAGGGAAGCAAATTTAGGGTTGGACTCGATGATCTTTGAGGTCTCTTCCAACCCGGTTGATTCTATGATTCTAAATGTGACTGAATGCACTGAATTCACAGCAAAGTGTGTAAGGTCTTCAGTGAAGATATGTTAGCTGAAAAACTGACTTCTAGAGTAGGAGAAGGGTTCTGGTAAATAATGTAAAGCAGGTTTGTAGTCTTTTTGTTTGGAAACAGCCAGAAATGCTGTTACAGAGTGCAGGACAATACATTATCATTGGCATATATTCACCTACCATAGGACTTTGCAAACAATATTCCTGCTCAGAGACGTATCTCAACACAGTGAGGTGGGCTGCAGGTTGGAGTGCAGAAGTGATTCTCACAAGCTCTGTAGTCTGCATATTTTCATCAGCCCTGCTAACTTTAACTTGGTTGTACCCAGTGCACAGCACCCAGGGCATGGTGAGACAGAGGCTTAAGCATGGGGAGTGTATCTTGTCACCTCTTGTTGGGGCACACCCAAAGATGTCCTAAGAGCAGACACTGTGTCTTCTGGTGCACCTCTTACAGGTTGTACCTAGCTTGCTTGTGTTCAAAGCATCCTTGATTCTACCAGACTGTACATCTCAGTGTAAGATCTGTTTTCAGCCTGACCAAGATTTTCAATGGCAATGAAAGAATCAAATCTTGACTGAACCTGCAACTGAGCTGCAGTGCAGGGGAAGATTTGCTACTTTCAGTACATCCTTCACCTGATCATAGACCTAAGACAGACCCACAGTCTCTAATGCTGTCTGCAGGGCAACACAGAACCCCAGAATCAGTGAGGTTGGAA